TCTCTCTCTTCTCTCTCTCTTCTCTCTCTCTCTCTCTCTCTCTCTCTCTTTTTCTCTTTCTCTCTCACGGACACACGATCTGTCGTTTCCTCCGTGTCACGCATACACGCGCGCACACCCTCGTCTCTCTCTCTCTCATTCTCTCTCGTTCTTTCTCTCGTTCTTTCTCTCCGTCCGTTTCTCGCTCTTTCTCTCGTACGATATCGCGTTAAGGTATCTTTGTCGTGTGTATACATATATATATATGTATATATATATATATACATGTATATATATATATATATCTATACACATGCGTTCTCTCTCGCTCGAGCATACTATCTATCGGACGCGTCTCTCGCTTTAGAAGCCGACAGGCGGCCGAAGGCCACCACTCTCAGCTGTGGACGTACCTTGATCGTTGAGCGCGAAGTAAAGTGTGGGGCTCCTTTGCCTGGTGTCCTTGTCGTCGGTGCTAAACCCACCGTTTGACTGTCGGATGCGACGATCGCGACGAAGCGAGCCTTCTTTTGCCGTGTCTCCGCCGGCTGTCCTCCCTGTGTCGATGATTTCTCTGCCTGTCTCGTCTCCTCTCCTCTTCCTCCTCGTCGTTGTCGTCGTCGTCGTCGTCGTCGTCGTCGTCGTCGTCGTCGTCGTCGGCCACGGACGATCCACGGGATCGGGAAGTGCGAATTCCGCTCGAGATTCCCTATGCCATGCAATCGTCGCTCGCGATCTCTTGGGTCGTTGCGGGGCGTGCACTCGGGGACACTGGTAGGTCCATCCTCGTGAAAAGGTGCAACGGCCAAACAACGTACGACAACGTACGAAAACGCAACGAGACCTCGTCGCCTCGTGCTCGAGCAACGAGCGCGTTCCGATCCTCACCGCGTGCGACGAGGCAACGTCGTCGACAACGTCGTCCCCGATACGACAATCGACTCAACAACAATCAACCGGCACAAATCTCGCCTTCGTTTCCTTTCGATCGAACAGATCGTCACCGATCACCGTCAACCGATCGTGTACATACGGTCCTTCTCCTCTCCTCCTTTCTCTTCTTCTTCTTCTTCTTCTTCTTCTTCTTCTCCTTCTTCTTCTTTTCTTCGCTTCAACGTAGCGAGCCTCACGAAATGCGAAAAAGGGGGGAGAATGAAAAAAGGAGAGAGAAAAAAGAAGAGGAAAAAAGGAAAAGGGATGAGGAAAGGGAAGCGGAAACAGGTAGGAAAGGTGGTATGGTACGGTACGGTCACACTTTTTTCCTCCGTCAACCGTCCCCCTTTCTCTTTTTCCGCTCTCGTTCTCACTTTTTCCCTCCCTCGTCCTGTCCAGGATGCGTGTTCAAAATGTACGTACGACGTTCTTCTCGCTCGAAAATACAACGTATCGATGTCGTCACGCGGGTGTCACTCGCGCTTCGAAGGACGCCAAGGGTCGAAGAAGAGGAAGAACAAGATGAACACACGTCCGTGAAGCCTCGGCAATCCTCTGGCCTCGTGCTACGTAAGCGTAACACCGCGGCGTAAGCAGCACACCCGTATCGCGAAGAAGAAGAAGAACGGATGGATGGATGGATGGATGGAGGATTTCTCCTTTTTCTCTCCCTTTTCGCTCGGCGCGCGAAGCAACGCGTGCAAATCGGCGTCGCGATATCACCGCGATTGATATAAATAATATCGGTTCCACCACGATTTTCCACCACGATTTCTCCTCGAACGGGATCGATTTCGGGATCGTTCACTCCTCGTTTCCCGTTCACTCTTTTCCTTCCCTTTCGTCTTTCCTTTCGTCCTCGTCGATCGATGTACAACAACAAATATTTCTTCCTTCTTCCCTTCTTTCGGTTGCTCGGTTGTTGGTTGACAGTGGTTGGGTTCGGTTGGACGGGAACGAGAGAGAGAGAGAGAGAGAGAGAGAGAGAGAGAGACGAGGACGCGC